AACTAGGCTGAACTTTTCACGTGCAGTGTAATAACCCATTAAACTAGATCCGCATGCTGCAAACATGCAAGGCACGTTGGGTTTGAGCCCCAGTTTGTCCTAAATGTGGATAGGCCCTTTACAGCTATGGATCATACGACCCTTCTCCTACCAAAATCGTGGAATACAAACTGGCCTTTGAGGACTGTCGTGTATTCTTATGGTCACCTTTCATATGAATACGTGGCAAACATGTTCGCCTACCCGTACTGGAAACGAAAGCAAGCGTTACCTAAGGTAGAACGAGTAAACATTGGCCCTTTAAAAAAAAAAAAAAGCTGATGTGCCTTTAATTTGGTGACCGGTCGTTTCGCCTACGCCTGGGAGTCGTTTCGCTAACGTCCCGTTCGCAAACGTCTCATGTCGTTCCGCCAAGAAGCGAAACGAGCGCTGCGCATGTACATGCTTCTTTCTCTCAGCCATCATACAAAAAAGTGCGATACGCATGTGTATACCTCTTTCTTTCAGCCACTGATCAGGCGAAAGCAGTTAGGGAACAGACTGCAGAAGTTGGCGAGCAGGACGTTGGCGAAACGCCTCGTAGACGAAACGACCGTTAACCTTTTAATTTATATTGTTTGTTTATTTTGTATTGTTTCAAACCACTCGTTTAGGTGGTAATTGACGCCTTCCGACTCATCAATCCCAACATGATGGTACTGGGTCAGGAATCAAGGCAGACCACTTCCAATCTTGGACATTTGCAGAAGCCTTCAATACAGGTGCAAGTTCTTTCTAGGCCATCCCAATAAAATGTTTCGTTTCCCATCGCCCTCCCTCTCGTGAAGGTGGGTCGGTCGGTCGGGCAAAAAAAAAGAATGAACACATGATTGCATATTAAATCTCACGTTTAGTCTGCAAGATATAATCAGATGGTAAAAGATGTATATTAACAGGACTATCAAATGTCTAAAAAGGCTACAAAAACGAAGTATCGATGATAATTTAAGACAGTTGGTGTTAATAAGACAAGATCGTGTGCGTGTAAATTAAAGTACTTGCTTCTTTACAAGTGATTCTTGAATTTTTATTTTTATTTTACTTTTCCAAAAAAATGGGTCGGTCGGGCGATGGGAAACGAAGTATTAAATTGGGAAGGCCCTACAGAAAATTAACATGGCTTATTTGTTAGAGGCCTTTAGACTAGAGGAGGAGAACGAGATTCAACCTACGGTTTTTTCGCTTAAAAAAAGACACCCCGGAAAGATTCATTGTACCTTTATTCATCAGAAAAGGTAACACGGCAATCTTCCATTAAAATTGTTTTTTTTTTCTGGTCGTTTACAAAAAGATCTGTTTACAGGAGGTTGAAGTTTGGAGGAAAGCATTTTCAGACAAAATTTCTGTCACGCTTGTCACACAAGGTTTGCGGTCGTCCTTCTTGTCCAGTCTTGTGTGCGCGCACTATTTAGTAATGAGAAAATCTCGTACTCGTATTCGTCCTCGTCGTAAAATCTAATGGTCTCTATTCTCTTCTGAAAATTTCTTATTTTTTTTTTTTTAGGCTTTGATCCATGGTCTCAATAGACACTATTATTCCATCTCCATCAACTACAAGAAGAATGAACTTGAGCAGAAGGTTTGCAAGTAGCTTTTATTTCTTTATTTATATAGAGCGTTTATGTACTACATGTAAGACTTAAGTTATTTTTCTAGCCAATCACAAAGCTCTTAGACAACCAAGTGAGCCAATCATATCTCGCGCGCCTATGTGGCTGAGGCCAAGCGCGGGAATTGCCGTGTGTGCAAGGTTTGGGGAGCAAGGCTGGTGCAGTGGTGAGAGCACTTGCCTCCCACCTTTGTGGCTTGGGTTTGAACCCCCAGGAATTCATTTCATAAGTAGGTTGAGTATGATCGTCCGGGTGAACGTAGTCCTGAATAGGACTGTTGTTGTTGACAGTGACTGACGTTTCGACAACCCGTGCGGTAGTCATCTTCAGAGTCAAAGTGATTTGTATCACGTCAGTTGACGGTCAACCTCATCCCCAGGGCTTTTCCCTTAAAAAATGGGTGGGCCACCCATTTTTTAAGGGAAAAGCCTTGGGGACGAGGTTGAGTTGATGGTATTAAACTATGGTTATTGATCTGTCTTTCCACGTGGTACAGACACCGCCATGATGGGGAGCAAAACATGCACTGGGAGAAAACAATAAAATTTACCATTTTAAATGATGTCAGCTCTTTCATTGTCCTGTCTCAGTGCGTGTCTTGGTCTACAACATGGCAGTTTTGAACCACGTGAATGATTAGCAGCAAAGGGCCTATTCTGCCTTGACTACGAGTAGTCCCTATTTATCCTCAGGGATAGTAGAGCGAGCAAAACGCGAGCGCGCGTGAAAATCACCCCACGCGAGAAAGGCGAGACGTGGCGGGGTGAGGAAAAATTGGGACTCATAGAGTTCTAAATTGATGACGTCATAAAAATTAAATTTCTGCAATTATGGGATTTGTCAAGATATTCTGAAAGAACAACGTCCTAGACGCCTAATTGCCAAAAATTAGCATTTCGGAGCAAATTGTCTCTGAGATATAAGCGCAGTTATGCTCTGATGACTCCATAAAAATCCTTGTAAATTTGACTTGGGTCTTAACGTTTAGACCCAAGTCAAATTTAGAAGGATTTCTATGTAGTAATAAGAGCATAACTGGGCTAATATATCAGAAACAATTTGCGCCACTATGCTAGAATTTGGCAAGTAGGTCTCTTTGACGGTGTTCTTTCAGAACATCTTGACAGATCCCATAATTTCACAAATTTAATTTTTTATGACGTCACACTTAAGTACTCTATAGTCTAATTCTGCCAGATGATCGTATTTCTGATTCTGAAGTTTCTGTTCCTCAGATGTTGTTGAATCTACACAAAAAGACTTGGATGGATGGATTAACTTTACAAGATTATGACGAACACTGTGCGCTTAATCAGAAAACAGTGAAGGTATGTTGAATGGCTTAGCTCCATGATTACCATCCTTTTCCCTGAGGGGTGTGGATTCCACGTGCCCCCAAAAAAGATGATAAAAGTTTATGACAGGTCTACGTGGGATAAAAATTATTACGACAATCACAACGCAAAGTTTCAGTCGTGTAGGAGCTGCTTGTAAGGTCTCTCTTGATTGGTCGCAGAAAACAATGACATCTCATTTTTTAAAATTGTTTCAGTATTTTTTGGGGTCAGGGTTAGGCACCATTGGTGACTTCTCTTCCGAGCAGATGCTACATGACCCCAAAGTTTAGTGTGTAAATCTGAGACACCCTCTAAGGACTTCTTTTTTTTTCTTTTGAAAACTCCAGTTGCGTTCTTCCGCCTTTCTGAACAGAAATATCTGGACAGTGTTTAAGCACGGGTTTAAAAACTTTTATTTTATTTTCTTGCAGGAAATGTTAGAGCTTGTCAAAAATTACCACAAGGTAAGTGACGACGGTACTAGCGCCGTTTCTTGACACAGCAAAGAAATTAACTCGTTCTTCACTTTCGGGTCAATCAAGTCAAGTCCCGTCGAGAGTGTAGCTAGTATTTCTTTTCAACATCTATACAATGTCTAGGGTGGGGTTTGGGGGCAGTCTCCTGAAAGCCTTTTAAAGTTGCCTAGCACAACTCGAAACAATTTTGTCTTCTTTGTGTTCTTAAATAATCAATCATTTACAGGTCACTGTAGATTATTCTTTCTTCAGGAATATATATTGCAGACAATTCTTGGTTTTTGTTGTTACCGAAAATCTACCAAAAGTCCTTTATTAAATAGGTATTTTACGCAACACCCGAGTCGATGAGTGTTAAATCCTTGTGTTTGTTTGTTTGTAGGCAGTGGAAGAGGAAGATACTATGACCCCAGAACAGCGAGCGATAAAAAATGTCGGCAAACAGGTGTGTATGTAATGAACGGTACGGTAACAAGCATTTTTGACACCTTTTCAGAGCACTTTGGTTACCCTTACCTCTCGCCCTCCCCCGTCACCCTTGTACGCGTGAAAGTTAAGGTGGCTCGACTGGATTTTTTGGGGTTGATACCTCCCAACTTTGAGCATTAACTACGTCGGCATGAGTAAAGATATGGAAAAAAGGTTACCACAACTGCATTATATAAAGATGAAAATTTCTTATGATCTGGGTTTTATTGCAATCGGAGTCGCCATGGCAACGTAATGACGCCATTACGTTTTTCATTTATCTTTGCGTTTCTCTGTTCCAGGAGTTTTTTGATTAAATCGCATAAGGGAGTATGTACCTGCTATAATTGCCTCCATTATGGCGTAGTTTGAACAAATTCTATTAGAGCGTTTTCGAAATATTTTGAAATGTAGTTTTAAGAATGATAAAAACAGTGAAATAGCATGCTACCTACACAATTCGCTAATATTTTAAGAAAATGATAAGCTTTGAGAACGAGGCTTCATCTCATAGTGGTTTGACTCCATTGGAAACTGCATCCAAAAAAAGAGGGGAATTGCTCTGGGCGATCGCGAGTAAGAAGAATTTTATTAACTTGCATTCAGCTGCAATTTTTTTATAAATTCGACAAGCCCGAGATCAATCGTCAAGACTGAATATTCCCTGCAAGTTTCAAGAACATTGAAAATAGGGAAGGCTTTTAAATAGGGCCTCAAATATAACCAATTTTTCCCTCAGATTTTGTGTTTACAAGTGAGCGTCCTCATTATTCACTTTTCCATATCTTTACTCATGCCCAAGTAGTTAATGCTCAAAGTTGGAAGGTATCAACCCCAAAAAATCCAGTCGAGCCACCTTAAGGTCATGGTTAAGATACCATGTACCATGGCAACCTCGTCCCCAGGGCCTTTCCGTTAAAAAATGGGTGAGGTCATTTTTAAGGGAAAAGCCCTAGGGACGAGGTTGGTACCATGGTTTATGGTTCGGCCGGCAACAGTTATAAAACTATGAAAATTTTCTCGCGCTTGGTGACGCTGGGGCGGCCATTTTAAATTTTAATTAGGTAACAGGAAGCCCATGATTGTGGGCTCTTGTAGGCGGTCAGCTGGTTACCAGATAGACTACGAACAGTCTCTCTTTTTTGTTAGTCCGTCGAGCGAAACTCGCGACACACGAAAATGACCACGCCCGTGACTGAAGGCGCGTGCACTCCCTCACTAAATCTGAAGGAGAAAATGCCTGCAGTCTAGTTACCAGAAATCTCCGGAAACCGTCATCTCAGACTGATACATACATACATACATACCAGGAGCGAGGTTCTCAGTCAAATTCTCGGTTCCAGACCTCGCGCCAGCTGACCGCGTAGTTAAAAGTCAGAATTCACCATTTTCACATTGCCCATAAAACTCCTCCTTCACCCCTTCCCCCAATTTTGCAAAAGCATTCTTTTCAATTTTTCTTGGGGCGACTGTAGTGCCTAGGAAAAGTAGAAAACAGTGGTTAAGCAAAATTTTGGGGGGTAAACAAGGTGTTTTCTAGGCAATGGTGAATGGCCAACAGAGAAACAACTGCATGCTATTTTATAGCAATGATATAACTAGCCTCCCACGCAGACGTTCTTACGGGTTCGTCACGCAATCATTCCTCTCCCACGGGCGTGCTTTCAATCCATGTTATTCTAATCGGATGCGTGGGGCCTCGGTAAATCTCTTACTAAATGCTACTTAAAGACGTAATCAAGTTGGCCAGCTGCATCATCCCTGTTCATTATCACAAGTGAACTTGTAAACAGACACAGCCACAGCATTCAAAAATTATTCTTTAATGGGACAAAATCGTAGTGTCTTATTTCATGTTATAATACTAAAAGAAATAACAAAATCTTAGCAAATTACTCTTGTTTAGCAGTTAATAGAACTACAGGGGGGGCAGGGTAAACATGATGCATTATGGTCTATGTGAAAATGGTGAATTGTGAGACCTATCTACCACTACTGCCCTGTACTATTTTTAAAGCGAAATGAGGTGGTTCTAACCTTTTAGTCTGTGTTTAAATCATGTAAGTAAAAACTACAGAGCAGTACTGTTGACTCTGTGGTTATTTCTGGTTTTCGTGTTTAAATAAACGGCATCTCTTAATATAGCGAATCAGATTCAGTTACTATTCTAAAGGATGCTTACAATTAGTCACTTAGACTGGCCGGTCAGATCAGTCCATTTGTAAAGAGAATTTAAAACGTTTAATCAGAACCGTCCATCCAGATAGCGTAACTCTATACCTAATAGAATGTGCGGCAGTGATAGGTTTTATCGAAAACTTTCTAGCCTGAGAAAGCAGCCGTCATTTGGCGACGCCACCAACGATTTCCCGCGGGGAAACTGGCAGGTACAAAACACAGATCGAAAGTGCAAGTCACTGGTCTATTGTTAGATCACTGAGATAAGCTGTTTCCCCTTGAGCTAAAACTCTATTTTGGAGTGTGATTAGGGCTAGGAGACACTTTTAGAGTTGTTTATTTACCGTAGCACTGTGACCTGCACTTGTGATCCGTTACCTGTTACCTGTGCCGAAATGTCGGTAGCGCACTGAGCGGCGAACCGCAAAAACGCGCGAACGAGCGGCGAAGCAACGAGAAAAATAAAAAACCTCGCAATTTCACTGCCCTCGCCCACCTTGGCTTGTTTGCGCGCCTGACCAAAACCGCCATGTTACGCAGGCTAAATGCCGGCTGTTTTCTCAGGCTAAAAACTCTCAAAACGACCTGTTTGGGGTCCAGTCCGGCTGGCATGTTCTGACTCTTGGTAAGACTTCAAACCAAATCCTTCTTTGTGTTTTTATCAGGATCCTAAGCGCCATCTTGAGGAAAGCGTAGAAGTAATGATGACATCAGATATTGTCCAATGCCTGGGGGCTATGCTTAACTCCGTTGTCTTCTAGCCTAACTAAAACGGATCGCTTGTAATTTGTACAGAAAAAAATAAAGCTTTAATTGTCTCTTCAGTCATTTGGAGTGTTTTTCAGTAATTCATCAGTATAATGCAATGAATTGTATGCGTACTTAATTTCGTGGTTTTACCACCTAAGCCTTGGTTTGGAAATTCGTTGACTATGCAACTTGACGAGGTTGCTTAGTGGGATAGCATCCTGTTTCAAGATAAATGTCACTGGAGTTTGACTCCTCCTGTAGACGAGGCTAAACCTGTACTTAAAAGGATATTGGCATTTTACTGAAGGCCTATCACTGAATCCTGGTTTCCACATAAGCACTATCTTCATCGCCTCGATTTTTTGGAAAGATCGAGATGATTGGAAACCAGCCTATAGACTTCACTTCTTTCCAGGCGATTGCGATCACCACAGTAGTCCATATTGTCCCACATCGCATAAAAAGTGATCGTCTCAGATTTTGAGACGACACCAGCGATCGAGACGAACCAGAGGTTTAGATGAAACCGAGCTTAAAGGACGGATACTAACCGTTGGATTACCTGCTGAACACAAGAGGTTGGCGTCAACATTAATCCTCAAAGCCACTTCTACCTGAATGGAGAGTCCTTAACCCAGCAACCTGCTACATGTACATTCTTCTTGCGATTCCAGTAACATACAATCACTACGTTAGTGGTATTGAACCCAGTCGCACGCAAAAACGCTACAAATTAAACCTCCCTTATGAAGACACTTCATCGTCTTGGCCAGAAATACTACATATTGAACCTCCAAAGAGTAGACAGCTCTCTTTAAAAAGACACGCACAATTTCATGTGATCTTCATTGCGGAAATATAACATGCAAGCGAAAACGGGCGATTGCACTAAAGTTTTATAAAATATTATTGCCATTGAGTCTCCGAGCCATACGGAAGAAGGAGATGGCGAATGTCAGCGAAGCTCACGGGGATAGTTGAAGCGCATTACAAAGGAGCCGGAGGAAAGAACGAAAGGGGCATCTCAAATCCATGCGGGCAAATGGGGTCGTCCAGGTCACTCACAAAAACAAATCACGATGACGTTTCATACAAGAGCTGCACTTGCTGCAATCCATTGCGACCCTGTTGTCTCTCCAAATTCCTACTCCACAGTGTGCAACATGAGGATAAAAGCTGAAGTTACGTGTAACGCGACTACACCGCTCATCTATCACGATGTCCGACGCAGCTTCACTGAATATGCACTCTGCCGCGATAGCCGCTGCAGCCACAAACAAAACCCTACAGTGACATAGATAACCGTATCTTCCCTTTACAATGACTATTCTACATTCCCTTGTTAACACTCTGTGGCATCAACAAGTGGCATACTTACCATGACTTACCAATATAAATGCTGTTTTCTCTTACTACTGGTCCCGAGCCGTGATAACGACTCTCATTCCCAGCCGCCCTGATACTCGCCAGACGCCGCCCACATCATAAATTCACTATAACAGCGTTGTACACAGTCTGTGGCACTGATGTTTACCATGTAATACTTATAGCAATAAAACACATGCTTCACGACATCTTGACTGTAGTGAACCCATACAATAAAGCATTAACAGTAAAAAAAACCATCTTGTGTACAATTCACATGTTAACGTGATAAACCTGCCACTGCGGTAATTAACTTACATCATCAGTCCGGAGTGTCTATATTCTCATAAAAAACGAAGCGCTGACAATTACCATATCGTACCCATAACGTGTTGTACCCAAAACAAAACTATACAGCATCGGTAATAAGCATGTGCCTTAGCCATATACGCCTACACAACTCCCATTTTGTGAAACGTTGATTGTTATCATTTTTGCACCCATTCCATGCCGCCCTAGCCTGGAACCTTTGCCACTGATAATTACCATGCTGTATTCATTATTAACAGGACTGAGGCACAACCAAGTTATTACTCTCAAGCAGTGATAAATACCATGCGACAACCATAACATGACTGCACCAGACCCATGTTATGAAATCGGCAGCACTAACAATTAACATGTTGCAAATCATATCATGGTTGCATTAGTTAAGCCAACATTACAGCCCTGGGGCAGTTATAAGCGAAAACTGCCGCACCGCAAAGATATCATAGCTGCATGACACCCATGTTAGTAAAGACTATGCAACACCCTTTGCTAAGAGGTGCCAAATTTGCAACTTAATGTAACTTGTCAGCTTGAAGCAATCCTGATATTTCACACTCAAGCAATTCGCAAATCTTTGGCTTCTACATTATTGCTATGCTGTACCCGAATACGAAGACGAATCAAGCTGGGAAAATTCAGTTATCTACCCATCGACAGTATCCCACGTATCGAAACGGTGCCACCCCAAGATAACAACAACAACAACAACAACAACAACAACCACCTTTCACAAGTCTCATTTTATCAGGCAACATCAGTTTCTATAAATACAACTACGGTAAACGTTTGATCACGAGAAGTATGTAACCAGACGGGCTTTCAACAAATACAACGCCCAATTATTGCTGGTTACGACGAGCTACAAGGTATACAGCGGAATTTGACATGCATTGCCTCAATGCTGACAAAATGTTGCTTCTGAGTAATGAAGTAAAACAGAGCTAAAACTAAAAAGCCCGAATACTTTAAAAACGCGATTCACCAAAACGATGCAAAAAGGCCCTGTCTGCCTCAGTAAACTAAGAAGAGCTTAGTCTTGATAAAACCAAGTGCCACCGTTGGATAGAGGTCGGTAGCATCCACAACTATCCAAGCCAAAAAGATAAGCCTTACCGTGGCCTAAGTCGCAAGGGTGAACTTTTCAAAAGTTATACGCTAATAGGGTAAGTAAATAAAAACAAGCTACAAGTCCCAGAAAAACGTGTCAAGCAGGACAAGTCCTTTCTATAAACCACAGCTAAGTATGAACTACTAAACAACTTGGCAGTCCACAATGGAAGGATTGCAAGTGAGAAACATGACTACAAGAGGGCCAAGAAAAGCCGTTCTCTCTCTCCTTTTCAAAACATCATTCCCTGGTCCCCTTCATACATCAGCCCAACCGATCCAATCTGACATCAAGCTCACGGCCATCAACCATTGTTCCATTGAACATGGCTGAAAAGTTGTTAAGGAAAATTCAAAGCAGTTAGACTGCAAAACAGTCGTTTTTTTCTCAAAATCAGTAAAGAAATCGGTAAAGCGTGCCGTAAGAGTCTTACGCGCGCGAACCTCACACGCCCGTAGGGCGCGTGACGCGTATTTTTAGCGTCTCTCCCCAGGTCTCGCTCTCTCTTTTCAGCCTCGTTCCAGACCTTTTGTTTCACCACTCGCGCGTACTTGAATACGCAAAAATACGGACAGTTTTGCAGTCTATAAAGCAGTCAATTGTAAATGTATTAGCCTCAAAGTCAAGTAGTTTGTGATTCTGCAAACCGCGAGAAAACAAAGGAATTCATTAACATGAATGGACGTCAGGAAATTAAATTTGAAACTTTTGCAAAACCTTTGGAGGTACGAATTTCTTTAGTACTAAAACAACTCAAAAAATGATAATGATGATATATACTCTGATGACTCCTTCTAAATCTTTATAAAACAAGCTGGATCGATGAAGTTATGATCAAAGCCAATTTCAGAAGGATTTGTATGGAGTCATCAGAGCAAACCGGTCCTTGTAATGACCCATCAATTTACACTAACAGGCTAAGTTTTGGCAAGGGGGCATTTTTCACCTTGTTTTTTTCTGAATATGCTAACCAATCTCATAACTTCACAAATTTGAATTTTTATGACGTCACACTTCTCTTCTTTATAACAATAAATTACTAATTTTATGACAAAAAATTAAGGATACATATTGCATGGGCTGCATCCTCAGAAGTTTCAAACAACACTGTCCCACAGCCCTTTGATCTTCCACTGGATTCTGTCATAATATCTGCACGCACAACTCTCCCTGAATCAGAAAAAAAGCAATTAAGATTTCAATGACTAACTGCCTCCATCATAACAATAACAAAATTCTCATATCTGACTGCTGTCAGCTGTCCTGATTTCAGTACAATAGGACAGTAAAAGTCATGCGTCATTGGACAGTAGAAGCCACTGCATGCATGTTTCGTTTTTCACTGCTAGCAAAAACTCTCAAATATCTTGTGCATAATTTTTAAAATGCCTAAAATATCACACATTTAGTTATACTTATGATTAATTGATAACAGAAGTTCATGTCATCCAATTCCGTACGTAATAATGCTCATGATTAAACACTGAGTTGAACTCCTGCTGTGATTGTCCGATTTTGTCAATCACTCATACAATTTACAAACCAAATTGGACTCCTATTACCATTATCAATCATAACTACAGTATAACAAAATTAGCTATCAACAGCCCTGATTTCATCATGAATGGGACGGAGCACTAGGAAAGTATATGTCATGACTAAATTAAATAGGACAGTATATGCCATGGTGCACATGCTCTAGACTGGGATCTCATTTTTTTTTAAAAAAAGATAATAGACCTTTTTACCGATACGGCAGCCATATTGAATTAATTGGATTTAAGGAGTATTATGGGATGCCCAGGGGGCATGAGCACGATCTCATATACTCGCATCAGTATTTACGCGTGCTTTTCGGGCCAATTTTTCTTTAAGTTTTCCTAGAAAAAGTTTGTAATGAGAAAAAAAGATCTTTGTGCCGTCTTTGAATGTAATAACGATCGCCTTTTTCCCGAGAAATATACGTTGAAGTTCTCTCTTTGCCCGAAAAGGGCACGTATATACTGAACGAGTGCCCCCTAGGCATCCCATAATACTCCTTAAATCTAATAAATTCAATATGGCCGCCGTATCGGTAAAAAGGTCTATTGATAATATTGGTGACAAAACTTCAATTCGTCCAATTTGGTCTGTAATCATAATTGTAATCAGACTGAGTGGTGTCGAATAAATTCAGTCTTTCAATGAAAAGGTCTCTCAGATTCAGCTGCACGTGTGTGTGAATGTTTTTGGTACTCGGTGATATTAGTATTCATCATAATCGACATCAGCCATACACAATAGTTAATATTATACATATACTTTTAAATGATTAACTGACTTACCTGCCCCTTTGAACTTGTCCTTCAAGTCTTGCCAAGTGTAACGCCAGGGAAGCTGTTAAAATATTCCAATCCCCACATTAAACAAACCACCCTCCAAAATAGAGCCAAACCCACAGATGCAGAGAGTTATAACCTTTCTCATCAATAACCAGACATTTCAGTGAAGTCATGAATATAGTTCTGAATTTTGACTTCAGATGGGCTTCAACTCAAAAAGTGACCAGTCAAATGAATCGATCAGACAGTTCTTTTACCATGTTGTGCAAAGTGTACTTCTAATGTTTGAGTCTATGGAGTAAATCTTAATGCATGGCCATGCACAAGAAATCAACTTAGTGGTTCTTTCCTGTGATGTTGCTTATTACACTGTGCAAGGTAGTTCTAACTTTTGAGTCTGTGGATGAAATCAAGTACAGTGACCATTCAAATGAAAGCTAATGAGCAGTACTTTCCTGTAGTACTGTTTATTATGGTACACCTACAAGGCGGTTCTAACTTTTGAGTATGGATGAAATTTTAAGCTGAAGGCCACAGTTCACCAAAGAAAAAGATCACACCCCCAGCGCAAGAAGACAAGTAAAACTTTTAGACTTCTCGGGTAGTAAAAGGTTGATTGTAAAACCACTTCTTGAGGATCTAGAGTAATGGGTTGTCATACTACATAGAATTTGCAATCACTTCACCAAAAAGCACAAAAATTACAACGAGAAACAAGAAACACTGCTCAAGATAAACTATAGACCTCAAAATAGTTGAGCTGCAGTTTTTTTTCCTGGCCTTTTCAAGATCTCATTCAAGTAAATTAAACTCCAACTTAACAACATCAGATATATTTGTACACAGAACCCTCAGATGTACTATTTCACTATGCTTAGCATGCTCTACTACGGCTTTCACTGCATCTGTTCCAGAAACAACAGATTTCTGATATCAACATTTTCAGAATCAGCCAATGATTTGGTGCTACCTCTCCACTCTGTATGTACCTTTGGCATTCTTAGATACGCAACTTCTTCAAATAGTCCTAGGCTAAAAATGATGCAATCAATTTCAACCCTTTCCAAGAACCTTGGAAACCCTGCGCGCAAACATAAACATCACAGATCAGCAGTACTTACATTTCTCACAAAAACCTGCCGACCCGCAGTTCCACCGTCACTGTGATGTGATCCACCAAGCCCTCCACCCATGTTCCCACCGCTGCCGCCACTACCGCCACCTCCACCGAGCAATGTGCTTCCAAGCATTCCCAGTCCACCAAGTGCCGCAAGAGGGTTGCCACCAGGAGTGTCAGGTATCCCTCCAGGTCCACCGACACCTCCAATTCCACCACCTCCAGACAGATTGCCGAGCGCAGCGCCCAATCCACCACTGCCACCGCCAAGATTGTTTGTTAACTGGGCCAGCTGAGTCAGCCCTTGAAGACTTTGAAACAGTTGTAACACCGCCATGGGATTCATGCCAGCCCCTGGTCCAGCTCCAGCTCCTCCTCGGTTCATGTTTGGGTTGTTAAGACCTGTATTGCTAAGTTGCTGCATGATGGGTGCATTGCGATCCTTTATTAAACAGAAGGAAGACAAAAATATTACATCCAAACCAACATGACTAATACCAATACAAGAAAGACGAGGTGTGAACGGATGACTATCTCACATTTCCTGTAACAACTTTAAAGCAAGCTTTGTAAGAAAAAATATTCAAGTGTAATCACTTACATGCAAACTATGAAGCATTTATTTCACCTTCACTTGTTTTTACTGTTCCTTAAGGAAGTTTTGCAATGCTCGCTAATGAGTCTGTGAATAAATCCTTAAGCATAACCAGTCATTTGAAAGACAACCTAATATTTTAAGGTTTACTCAAATCTCAAGATAATCTTGTTCCAATAATGACTCAAAATATTGTGACACAGCCTCGTTAAATGAAAAAATTAAAAAAAGTGAAAGTAAACAGATCAATTTAGGTGTCTAGGAAACTGCCCACCTACCCCTCCCCTAAGCCAACATTTTGCCCTAAGTGAGAAGTAAGTGATAATGTTGGCTTAGGGGAGGGGTAGGTGGGCAGTTTTCCATAGATCTAAATTGATCCAAGTAAACTTACCAATCGGACACTCATAGCTCTGTCACAGAGAACATGGCCATGGAACATGGCTAAGTTACGCATGCAGTTAAGAATAAATATTTTAACCAACATATGAAATGGAATACAGTCAAATCCTGTCAACACAGGCACTGAATGGGTCATAGAAAGTGTGTCCGTATTAACCCTTTAAGTCCCAATATCCACATACAAATTCTCCAAACTGATCTCTATACATTTCCTTAAAGAATGAGTTGAGAGAATTTGACAAAAGATCAAAGCATTTTCTCTTAGGTGATCATTTTATTAATTCTCATAACTTAATCTCTTGACAATGTATGGATATTGTTAGGAGAAAATTAATGTTGGCCACTATTGGGACTTAAAGGGTTAAGCGGGTTGGATTTAGAGACAATGTAAGGGCTTTCTTTCCCAAGAGACAATGCAAACTGTCTGTAATAACGAGGTGTTCGTAAAGCAGGGTTTGACTAAAAATAGTAGCTAATGAAACAGAGATGGTTAGCTGAGTGGACAGATGAAATCAACAGACACTGTAACATTAATTGCATTAATTCATTCATTCATTGGGGAGCAAGGGATGGCGCAGTGGTGAGAGCGTTCGCCTCCCACCAATGTGGCCTGTGTTCAAATCCCGGCTTTGACGCCATATGTGGGTTGAAATTGTTGTTGATTCTCTCCTTTGCTCCGAGAGGTTTATCTCCGGGTACTCCGGCTTTCCCCTCTCTTCAAAAACCAGCATTTCCAAATTCCAATTCGACCAGGAATCAGGTAGACGAAGAACCACTTTGTGGATGTGCTACCTCCAAATCATTATTTATTTTATGTTATTTTATTTTATTTGTATTCATGGAAAGGATACAAACTGCATTTATAGCTTCTGTTGCCGTTTCAAACTGTACAGTACCAAAACCTTTGGATTTATGATCTGAGTCCAAATTTATATCTGCACGGACAACATTGCCTGAAAAACATAGTTCACCCAATAAGTATGTTGGTATGTTATTTACAAAGGACATCACTGCAGCAGGTTCATGCTGCAGCGCTGTCACTAAGATTTCAAGTTGCCAGGTAAATACAACAAGTAGGTGGGGAATTAAGCAGTTCGTGATTTTTTCTGGTTCTATTTTTCTTCTATTTTCCTATGGAAGTAGCTGGGGTATATATTCATGGAAGCCAGAGGAAATCCCCGGCCCCCAGCCTTAATTGACAGCCCTGTGCTGTCATGAGTGATGAAAGTGAAGCCTGTCTGATAGTCCCGTCATTCTAAGTGGATTAAACCAGTGGACCATTGTGCTTTCATCTCACACTATAGGCAAGCAAAGTTTATAAACCTTTAAAAAAACAGGGCTTGAAAATTTTTCGCAAGTCTTCAAGCCCTGAACTACAATGGAATTCCATTAATGCGACCTTGTTTGGCCATAAAATCCTGGTCGTAATAACGAGGTGGTTGCATTTACTGGGTCTTCAAAATTGATAACAAAATGACCCAGTGTTTTACGTTTGGATTGAAACAATATGGTCGTAATAACGATGTGGTCGTAAGGTGGGGTTCCAATGTAATTGGTGTCGATAACTTGCAAGCACACTACCCATAAAAGAAGGATCAATAAAGAGATTCTTAATATTTCATGGTTTAGATTTAAGTTGCAAAACTGTCTACTAGCATTGTTCAAGGCTGTGCTCTAAGGAAAATTGAAGGGAGCCCAGAGCTCTGAACCGGTAAATTAGGGTGCCCAGCATATGAGTTGTATGAAAAAATTAAGATTTGCTAGTCGCCGTGGGCAAAAGTTAGCCGCCAGGGGCCACCGGGCTCTGCTCGAGCACAGACCTGTTGTTATTTTAGGAGGTTTATCAAGTTGCAATACACACAGTCACATACCAGCTCCTCTGAATTTATCTTTAAGTCTCTGCCAGGTGACACTGTAGTCAAGCTGTTGGGCCAAAAAAAAAAATCAAACTTATTTATGAGTCCAGGAATTTTTGGTAGATCAATAGTTTTGTCCGCATTGTTTTCTGATATCTTTTTGTCTTGTCTATTTAATTCCATTTCATTGTACTTTACTTTCACTTTATCTATACCAGTTATTGTGCAACTGCCAATAAATTGCAAGCATGCTACAGTTCTAGCCTATCACGATGCACTCAGTCTACATTAAAAAAAGTACTGTTGGTGCAAACCTAAATTGTATTGTACTCCTAGAGAAGGCCAAGTCAGCCAAAATGTAGAGTAAAGGCATGTACCACAAAGACTTACTTCACTTGGATTCTTGATCATTACATTAACAGTTCTTATTTTAATATCTCATTAAGTTTCCACAATCGCTGCTAGCCTCCTATAAATTGTGCTCATTTGAAATGATAACATTGTTTCTGCACGACCATTACAAGAAATCCAAGTAATCGCAGAAAGCAACAAATACTTGAAAGTGAAACTGATTAACTTACATTGCTGACAAAAACTGTGCACGACAGCGGATCAGTTTTGTAATTAATTCCTTGACCAAAGTTTCCAAACCCTAGGCCTAAGAGGCCTCCAATGTTACCAAGAGGTCCACCACTGCCACCACTACCACCCAGGGCAAGACTACTGCTGCCATGCCCACCACCATAACTGCTGCCAAGGTCTGATCCCCTGGATGATGTGGTTCTGCGTCTGTCACTTCGATCTTCTTCAATCCGATCCTGTAAGACAGTTCGGCATTGGTTAGTGTAATGTATGTACAGTATAAAATAATGCCTCCGGTGCAAGGTGTGATGTAGCCTGAGAAAACAGTTGACATTTCTCGATGTTGCAATATTGGTTTACCCGCAAAGTGGCACCTGCAAAACAAGCACAGAAATTCCATACAGATGACATGTCACTACCCAGATCTCAAGGGTGCTTCTGATTGGCTGAAGCAAATTTCCCTTGTGGCATGACTAATAAGAAGCACTGCCCAGATCTGATCGACCAAAAGTCATCAGTACAAAATTTCTGTGTTAATTTCTCGGACTTCATTTCATGTTGAAAACAGTTACAGCATCACAATATGTTGACTGTTGTCTCACACTAGATTGGATGATCTAGACAACTGAGGAGATAGAAACTTGTGATCATTCCAATCCCTAATACTTTTGGGACAACTACAGTGATCAAGACAGTACCAGTAAAACTCTATGGACACCAGGCTTTACCTCACGTATATGGATGGACCTTCCTTTAAATTCTGTCCCATGGAGCTCTTTGATGGCTTTTTCTGCATCATCTTTATGTCGAAATTCCACAATGCTGCAAAAAGGTTAACCAACGTACTTTCACATTCAAGAGTAATTCTGTTTTTTTTTTCATTGATAATACTAATATAAGCTATAAACTTCAAATCATCAATAGCCATAAAACTATGACCAACATATCTTTTTACTTTTTTTGTGTGTGGATCAACTGTTAACCCTGACAAAAGTTACATGAATGAAGCATTCAGTGGTTTAGGCATTCAGAAAAGGCAAACTAATTTGCCTCCAGACAATGATGACAAATACTACAATGTAACTATTGATAAACACCTAACAATGTAGAGTGACAGGTCTAAAGTACATCATGTATTGATGCCTCAGAGAGCTGGTAGCATAATATTACATTAGCTGTGTGTTACACAATTCTATCATTAAACTTTCATTGCAGAAATTTTATTTGTAAGAAACAAAATCATACAATGTAATGTCATTTTCATCACACAAAATTTTTTAAAATAAAAATAGTGCTATTCTTTTACAAAAAACTATTCAATGCCATGGTATTAGAAACACTTACCCACATCCCTGAAAAGAGAACGAAAAAGAGGGAGTTAACAAAAATTAAAAACTGAGAAAATAATATTTATGAATACAAAATACAAAAATACAAAAAAATAACTATTACTGACACTATAAATAACAATAAAATGATTATTATTCTGTAAGCCACAGTTAGTGTCTAAAATTAAAAGCAGTCTATTAGTTCTAAAACAACAAGAAATAATATAGAGCAGATACTCCTTCCCAAATTAGATATTAGTCCTCTGAAGTATTTTCTAATTCCACTATTGTAAATATGTTGCTAGTTCCAATGTTTAGGCTTAGTTATATTTACGGTATGTTCACAAACTAATTGTCTAAAAAAATTTTCATGCAACAACTATGATGTTTCTATGTTAGTTTTCAACAATTTGACTTACGGGATCTCATAAATTCTATCCCAGAATTTACCAGTACAACTGTACAGAGAGTAAGCGAAACCAAAGACCAGACCTTTACCTTTGATTTTCCATGACTGTCCTCTATGATATCTACATATCCAACATCACCAACTACCAAAAAAACACAAACAAACAAATAACGTAAAGCAATTCAACCCTTTCACTCAAGGGAGGTTTGTAAGGGCATTGCTATATGCTTTTGCTCAATTTGCTTTGCTGTTTTGTCGGATTTTAAATGAAGATATGATATCTTGTCTTCATTTAAAATCTGTATTTCACAGTTCTACATGTTTTGTGGTATGGTTGCCATGGTGACCTCCTTGAAGCTGAGAGGTTTTCTGGGTTACTTAACATTTACATGAGAAAACTGGAAATTTGGTTGAAAAATCAAACGGCGATGGCCGTACCATTTGGGAAATAGAGGAGAGGAAAGATGAGAAGATGAACATCTTTTCACCTGATTTTGATACAATTTGTACTGGGTCCTTCCCATGATATCAAATTTAATTTTTAAATGTTTATGCCTAGAATTTCAAACTACATGGTTTATGTAAATGTACTTAGCACTCCTGCTCTCCTATGTTACTATCTCTGTTGGCACCTAACCACCAATGTTATTGACTAAGTGTTTTAATTTAGTCTGAAACTCTAACTTTTGAGACTGTGGAAAATAAAAACAAGAAAGTTTAAAATCTAAGCTAATCGTAAAAGTTGGCTTGCAATAATTAATGATTAATGTTGTTATGGTCCTTGGCAAACCATGGATCAGACGAGATCGGATCCGATAAACCACTGCACCGTAACCTTATCCTCATCATTTCGTCAATTTATAGCAAGTGAGTTACAGAAATTGATGCCATCCAGTCTGATCCAGGGTTTGTGGACGCCTCATTGTTTTTGTAAGTCTTCTTCTGCTTTACTGCCTAACAAAGTTTTCGCTTCAAGTGAGTAGCGTCGAGCCAGCAGCTGCAGGTGTGAATTGTTGTAGTAGTTTTTCGTTTTTTACAAGTAATATTAGTCCACAACAGCAGAATTACCTTTCTTCATAAAGTCCTTTAAATCCTGCCATTTTACGGAGTAAGGAAGATTCCACACGTATACTCGACACTCCTTTCCGCCGCTTCCAGACTGTCGCCTAGAATTCGACCTTTCATCTGCCGAAGGATACGGAGCGTACCGTCTATTTTCGCGTCGTAAATCCCTCTCATAACCACCGCCTCTTCGCCGTCTGTCTCTGTCGTCGTGGTCGCTTTCTCTACTCCCTTCCCGTTCATTTCTGGGGTCTCCATCGATAGGAGAATCGTCTCGGCGGCCGGCGTTCGAATACATAGCGTCCTCCTGATCCGCCATTTGCAATTTTGAGTTCACTTCCCCCACGCGGGGTTATTCTTTCATGTTACGCTTACGCCAAATAGACCTAGTGTTTCATATAACAGTAATAGAATGTCCATTCTCCTGTATACCCATGTATACCCTGTATACCCTGTATACCCATGTATACCCTGTATACCTATGTATACCCTGTATACCCTGTATACCTATGTATACCCTGTATACCCATGTATACCCTGTATACCCTGTATACCCTGTATACCCATGTATACCCTGTATACCCATGTATACCTTGTATACCTTGTATACCCTGTATACCCATGTATACCCATGTACTCCCAGTATACCCTGTATACCTTGTATACCCTGTATACCCATGTATACCCTGTATACCCATGTATACCCATGTACTCCCAGTATACCCTGTATACCCATGTATACCCCAGTATACCCATGTATACCCATGTACCCCAGTATACCCTGTATACCCCCATGTATACCCATGTATACCCATGTATGCCCATGTATACCCATGTATACCCTGTATACCCTGTATACCCTGTATACCCTGTATACCCCCATGTATACCCTGTATACCCACCCTGTATACCCTGTATACCCTGTATACCCTGTATACCCTGTATACCCATGTATACCCATGTATACCCATGTATACTCCCATGTATACCCTGTATGCCTGTATACCCTGTATACCCTGTATACCCCTGTATACCCTGTATACCCATGTATACCCATGTACCCTGTATACCCTGTATACCCTGTACCCTGTATACCCATGTATACCCATGTATATGTACCCCAGTATACCCATGTATACCCTGTATACCCATGTATACCCATGTATACCCTGTATGTACCCCATGTACCCTGTATACCCATGTATGCCCCATGTATACCCTGTATACCCTGTATACCCATGTATACCCTGTATACCCATGTATGCCCAGTGTATACCCTGTATACCCATGTATACCCCTGTATACCCATGTATACCCATGTATACCCATGTATACCCTGTATACCCTGTATACCCTGTATACCCTGTATACCCATGTATACCCTGTATACCCATGTATACCCCTGTATACCCTGTATACCCATGTATACCCTGTATACCCTGTATACCCATGTATACCCCAGTATACCCTGTATACCTTGTATACCCTGTATACCCTGTATACCCATATATGTACCCCCATACCCTGTATACCCTGTATACCCTGTATACCCTACCCAGTATACCCTGTATACCCTGTATACCCTGTATACCCATGTATACCCTTGTATACCCATGTATACCCATGTATACCCATGTATACCCATGTATACCTTGTATACCCTGTATACCCTGTATACCCTGTATACCCATATACCCATGTATACCCAGTATACCCTGTATACCCTGTATACCCTGTATACCCATGTATACCCATGTATACCTTGTATACCCTGTATACCCTGTATACCCATGTATACCCATGTATACCCTGTATACCCAGTATACCCTGTATACCCTGTATACCCTGTATACCCTGTATACCCATGTATACCCTGTACCCTGTATACCCTGTATACCCTGTATATACCCTGTACCCTATACCCTGTATACCCTGTATACCCATGTATATACCCTGTATACCCTGTATGTATATACATGTATACCCTGTATACCCATGTATATACCCTGTATACCCTGTATACCCTGTATACCCTGTATACCCATGTATACCCATGTATACCCTGTATACCCATGTATACCCTGTATACCCATGTATACCCTGTATACCCATGTACCCTGTATACCCATGTATACCCTGTATACCCAGTATATGTATACCCTGTATACCCTGTATACCCTACCCTGTATACCCTGTATACCATGTATACCCTGTATACCCTGTATACCCTGTATACCCCATGTATACCCTGTATACCTGTATACCCATGTATACCCTGTATACCCTGTATACCCTGTATACCCTGTATACCCTGTATACCCTGTATACCCATGTATACCCTGTATACCCATGTATACCCTGTATACCCCTTGTATACCCTGTATACCCTGTATACCCATGTATACCCATGTATGTATACCCTTGTATACCTCTGTATACCCTGTATACCCTGTATACCTTGTATACCCTGTATACCCTGTATACCCATGTATAACTATGTACTCCCAGTATACCCTGTATACCCATGTATACCCTGTATACCCTGCATACCTTGTATACCTTGTATACTCTGTATACCCTGTATACCCATGTATACCCATGTACTCCCAGTATACCCTGTATACCCTGTATACCCTGTATACCCTGTATACCCATGTATACCCTGTATACCCTGTATACCCATGTATACCCTGTATACCTATGTATACCCGGTATACCCGGTATACCCTGTATACCCTGTATACCCTGTATACCCTGTATACCCCTGTATACCCATGTATACCCTGTTTACCCTGTATACTCATGTATACCCTGTATACCCATGTATACCCTGTATACCCTGTATACCTTGTATACCTTGTATACCCTGTATACCCTGTATACCCCTGTATACCCATGTACTCCCAGTATACCCTGTATACCCTGTATACCTTGTATACCCTGTATACCCTGTATACCCTGTATACCCTGTATACTCATGTATACCCTGGATACCCATGTATACCCTGTATACCCTGTATACCCATGTATAGCCTGTATACCCATGTATACCTTGTATACCCTGGATACCCATGTATACCCCTGTATACTCATGTATACCCTGTATACCTTGTATACCCTGTATACCCCTGTATACCCATGTATACCCTGTATACCCTGTATACTCATGTATACCCTGTATACCCATGTATACCCTGTATACCCTGTATACCTTGTATACCTTGTATACCCTGTATACCCTGTATACCCCTGTATACCCATGTACTCCCAGTATACCCTGTATACCCTGTATACCTTGTATACCCTGTATACCCTGTATACTCATGTATACCCTGGATACCCATGTATACCCTGTATACCCATGTATACCTTGTATACCCTGGATACCCATGTATACCCCTGTATACTCATGTATACCCTGTATACCCATGTATACCCTTTATACCCTATATACTCATGTAACATGGCAAGACCAAAAAAGATGAATTAGCGTGTCTGAGGAATTGTTGCAAAAGGCATATATGTCATTTTCTTTTCGTCCTATTTTAAGTCAGAAATCATTGGTTGGTATGCGCCTATGTGATAGTGTAAATTGGAACTCAGTTTGGTGCTTTTTGTGCACCGTACTTTGCGCCATAAAATAGGTAAGTTCTTAGTTATATGTTCCTTTTTCGTCTGAGTAGTTACAGTCTTGAAGTCATTTTAGTTGGCTTTTACGTGCGGTTAAACTATTGGCTCTGGTCAGCTTTTGGTAAATTTATGGACCTAGCTTTTCTCTTTTAACAATTCAGTTTTCACTCGGTGTTTCAAAGTTATAGTCTTTTGTCTCAGCAGTATCGGTAACATTTTTGCGAATTCGTTGAACAGCTGATAGTAAAGTAGCTGATAGTTTTAAGTAGCGTCCAAGTACTTTTTAACCCATGTTGTTTTAAGACATTTGTTGAAAGGATAAAGGTCAATCATCTTCAGACCTCTATACTCAGGTTCATTGATCATAACTTTTCTCTTGATTTTGTCACCTTCACCATTCCATAGAAAATGGTAAAACATGGCATTCATTTCCTTTGTAGCGTAATGATTTGAGCGTAAAAGGGAAGAGCAAGTATACCAGTTGTGATGCGGTCAGTGAGTTAAGGACAGTAATTTTCCCTAACAACGTGAGCCTGCAATATTTCCAGCAACTCAAAAGCTTCCTAATGTTTTCAGTTTTTTCGTTGTAATTCAACGTCAAAGCCATGTCCGGATCGGTTGACAGCCACAGACCAAGTGTTTGACTTTATATTTTGGCCATTTAAACTTCTTTCCTGAAACAAGGATTTGTTCATGTGCTGTCTTAGAACCGATCCAAAAGGCTTCCGTTGTGCTATCGTTTAACTTGAGGCCGGAGATCTGACAAAAATCATCTAAACTTTGTATTGCTGGTATAAGGGATTTCTCTCAACCGTCTAACACAAGAGTGATATCATCAGCGTGTTGGCTTATCTTAACTTCGTCATTACTCAGAGAAAAACCTGTTATGCCCTTGTTGTTTCGGACGGTCTTGGCCAAGATCTCCGCAGCAAGAATAAACAAATATGGGGAAAGGGGACAGGCTTGCCTAACTCCCCTTTGAGTCCGAAAGAAGTTGCTTGAATGAGCTCATTCAACCATTGCTGAGTACACAGTTTTCGCATTTTTGATTAAGGACAGCCTTTATCCTCATCAGATGAAACTTTTAATTACTTATTATTTTAATTACTCATTATTTCGTCCGGCGTTACATTATTGGCTAAGGCAATGTAAATTCCGAAGTAAGCTAAACTGATAAACAATTAGGTAATACATAATAACTTCATCGCTCAATTTATTGTGATTTACCAAGGTCACCGACTTTAGATGTTTACTGCATAATATCAACTTCTTATAACTCTTAAAATTCCTGCGCAGGGGTGGTTTGGACATCAAAAGAGGAAACAGGGTTTGACTTTGAAGGATGCAAATTACATAAAACATACATAACTTACATAGACCTCAAAACAGTATAGTACTCTGCAAAGGGAGGTATTGGTTTAGTTACAAGAAAGGTGTGAACATTAACTTATACAAATATTACAACGTAACATTTCCCAGGTTCGCGTTCAAAACATAAATAAAACTTTACAGCGAATTTAACAACTATGAGTTTAGAATCTCTTGGGAATCTCATATAGATCTGGTGAGAGTAAGCACACTATATTGATATTCTTTGCATAAAATTATACGGTTCTCATTATCGATCATATGGTGTTCTCTTACTATTACGTCCATGCACGGTACACAGCCACATACTATCTAGTATCTAACGTTTCCTTAGCTTATCATACTTTCTTTTTTCATCGTAAAGCACCTGTAAGGAATGGTGAAATATGGGAAGAACCATTAGAAAAGCGAAACTATTTACGACTTTGACTATTTTGCTAAACATGTCACAAAAATGACTGTTGTCATTTTTGACATCATTCTTTGAGTTGACATGCTGGATAATAGCATGCATGACAAAGAACTCGAGCTCATTCAATCCAGGATCTTTGATTTTTTCGTCATTTTCTTCCAGTGAAAGTCTTGATCGCTTCGCTTTCACGGTATGCCTGTATTTTTTACTTCGCTTTCTCGGTGTTCTACATTTTTTGTCTCGAGGAAGCCTTTGGTTTCCCCCACATTGTTTGCCTTGGCACCATCCACAACAACTGCATGCGCTCATACACGTACCGTATTCGTTGATGCACTTGCACCTGCCTTTGTAGTTCCTTGACGCTTTTGCTTTTGATTTGTATTTATTTTTTTCTCCGCATCGACATGGTTTTCTTGGAGTTGAGATTGGCACTTTCTCCGTGGAAAGCGTGGACTGACTCTCGAGAGCATCGAGATTGCTGTTTGTTTCAGAAGTGAATCGCTCCTGCTGATCACGTTGGGAGATAATTAGCGCATCATAGTGTCCTGGACCACTTGCATTATACGCGAGATAGACGACGTTTGAGGCTGGCACCATCCCTTCAGGAGAAATCATCACAAAAGGAGTCAAAAAACTTGGATTTAAGACAAATAAAGGTATTTGAATAACGTTTGCGATTGCTAGAGGTATAAGATCGCCTAGCGGACCTGAAAACGTTCCCGATTGGATAAAACGATCTGCCTCCGACAAAAAGTTTACATCACTGGGCAGAAATGACTGATAAAAATCTACTCGTTCTCCCTTCAATTCTTGGACGACTTTACTCCTGAGAATGCTACCAATATCGTTGATGGATGTAGATGTGTCTATTCCCATCTGTTCCGCAAGGTGCGACATTAACAATGATTCATTATGTGCATTCAAGCTCATCATTTGTTGCAATTGCATTGCGACTGCCGTAAAAAGGCAATTGCCGTCACCCGTTACCTCAACAATGTCAAATCCCCAAGTCGAGGCTAGTTCAGTAAGCCTTTTTCTGTCACTTTTTGTTGGGTCTCCAGTTACTGTTTCATTTTCCATTAATGCCTTTGTTTTTAACGGTCTAACATAAGTCACTATCTTCTTGAAATTGAATAGTTTTGGCCCCGTTTTTTCCTCAACGATCTTGCTCATTTTCCACCACTGTAAAGCGTTTCTAAGAATGACAAAGTTTTCGACATCCGCCTTTAAACTGTTCTCCACGTTTTCACCATCACTACACGTAGAACTCTCGTCATTGCTATCGATTAATGATGTAAGACGGGTTTGTATGTGAGAAATATTCTCTATAGATGTTGTTTTCAAATTTATTTTTTTATCCTCTGTAGCATTTGTCATCACATGGAAATTTATTTCGTGAACTTTGTTATTGGTTTCGTCAAGGGCTCTGCTCGATTGCGGTACTCCTGTTAACAGAATCTTCTTTCTACTGTTTATGAGCATGTCACCTATAGATGGTAAGTTTGCATCGCGTTTCCTGTTTGAGTTAAAAAGGGTCCTTTCAACGCGAGTTCTTGCAAGATCTACTCCAATTCGGTTTGTTACTGTTGTTTTCTTCAGTTCTCTGTGAAGCCGTTCGTTTCGTGTTGTCCCACAACCTGGGGGGATATGTGACAAGCATCCTTTTCTAACGTGACATTCTATATTTTTTAGTTCTTTTTCAACGCTTTTGCTGATAACACGAGCGCCACTTGAATTCTTATACGAAACCCATTTTGTGATAAAGTTGTTTAGGTTGCGCAAAATCTCTTCAGGAGCCGGAGTTGGAAGTTTTCTTTCGATTGCTTGATCTCTCTGATCCCTGAAGACCAGTGAGTAATCTTTGCAAACCTCTGCAAAGATATGAGAACGTTTTGACACCTTTTTTGTAATTCTTTGTATGGCGTGAAACAAATCCAACTTGACGGGTACGTTTGGGAAATATAACGTGAGCAGGTGGCGCCACTTGCAGCAATTGTCTATGTATATTCCTGACAGTTTTACCCTCGATTTTTGAAGTCTAACGAGAGAGCTTCAAAAGAGGTTTTACCTCATCAAAACTCTCTGACATAGCGAACGACCACCTTATTACTTGTCCTTTCTCATTTATTATGCAAAAGAGTGATGTGTACTGCGTAATCCAGGCGCTGTCTTCTTTTCTTTCGAAGCCGATATTTGCAGCTGCCTTGAAGGTGTGGTCACAGCTAATCCATTTAGCATTTAACGAATTCATTGCCTCTGTAAAAAGGTGTTTTTTCTCATTAAAAGATGCAACGTAAACGCTTCTTATCAAGTTGTCACCTGGGCAGGGAAAAAGGTTCCCAGGAACGTCAAAATTTAACTCCTCAGCTGACTGTGTGAACCCCAATTCTTTCGCTTGGTGCGCGTCACTTAGAAATCGGAGCAACCTGTTTCTTAATGTTCTTTTGTACCTTTCTTTTATGAGCTCTTCAACAGCCGATATTGCCAATCCTCTATCTAATAAATCTTCAATTTCATCTGCCAACCGCATAGTCATACCAGATCGGTGTGTGAGAACAAATGGCACGCACGTATAATCCTCTGAGGTGTCGTGGAAATAGCTTGGGGTATATCATGACCATGCTCACATTTATATACTTTGCTAACAAGCAACACTGGACTTTCAACGTCGAACAACATTCGGGGATTTGATCTGTCTTTTCTTGCATTATTCCATTCATTGACGCTTCCCCTTGATAACAAAGAACATCTTCCATCTTCAGCGCACAAATAACAATACAATTTTCTTTTTTTGGCGCGAAAAGCCGGATGTTGTCCAAGAGGATCAAAAAGGATATAGGGAAGTAAAAAGTAAGGATCTGCGTCTTGTCTCCTCTATAACAGCGTAGTTAATTAAAGTGGAATGGTTGGGAAACCCTTTGCTATAGGTTTTTGTTGGCTTTTTTGGACCTGACCGTGCACAACGTTCAATAGCATTCCTATCATTTGGAAGTTTTTGACCAATAGAAACATTGCATGAATTTCTTCATTGATAATTTGTGAAAAGAAAACAAAGGATTGTGCACGGTCAGGGTGCTTCCAACATAACCTACAGCACCATTGTTTTCAACTTTGATGTTTGCCGGGTTTCCTAATTAGTCTCCTCTACTAACTATGATAAGAGTACGTACACACTGACCAGTTTGTCCTAGCGTATCCTTTGCGGGTTACATATAGCCTCTCTTACGTGGCCTAGAGTGTATGGAATGGGGTAGTTTGACGAGGAGTATGCCAATTTCTGGGCGAATTGTGTTATCACTCTTTTCTTTACCTTTCTGGGTTTTTGTTCCCAACTAATACAACTGTTACTGCTATGAAAAATCAATAAGAATTCCCCTGGGAAGTGCACAAGTTGACAGATAAACCGAGGTTAACCTTCCGAGCTAACATATCACTCTTCATTGCTGTCCACATATTTCATCTGATTCTCAGGATTGGAGAAATCTGTTTAAATATCTAGACAATTTTTCTACGGGACAGATCGTTAAAGTGGGTTCAAAGTAGGACGTACGGTTGTCAGTTAAGCTTCCAGTATTCTTGATACTCGGTTCAGCTCAAGGGTGGAAATTCAAGTGGCTAAGTGTTTACAAGCACTGCAGCTCTCAGCTGAGCTCTATTTAGTGCAGACGATAGAGAGAATGTTCCCACAGACAAATACCGTCGTTTAGGCGAAAAGTAGGCGCTTTGCAGCTGCACCGAACCCAAAAAATAAAAGAATGTGGAATTAAGTACGGTTTCTTTGTTCGTGCAAAAATTTGAGAAATTGAAAAGTCCTGAAGAGTTGAATACAATACAAGATGCCGAACAAGATGCAACTTGCTAGGTTGAAAATTTATGCCAAACTACAGTTTGAAATTCTAGTTTACTGAAGGTTGAGGAAATAAGAAAAGTTTGGCTTAGAAAGTAGAATTGAACATGAAGAGCCTTTTAGTCTTAAAAACTTGCTAACACAGCAAACGAGGGTTTTGAAACTATTCGTCATTCAATTTTAGGCTAAAAGGTGTGGTGGTCGTCAGCCTCCTTAATGAAATAGTTCGTTGAGGATAAAACATTATGAAGTACGTTGAAATGTTAGTAAAACGTAAATATATACAAATCGATGATGAAATGCTAACTATTAGATCGATGTTGTTTAATGATCTTATTCATTTAAAATACTACTGAACCAAAACAACAATAAAACGACAAATGGATAAATATCCCTAAAATTAAATCCCAACATATTCTTCGACAATTTCACCCTGCCGATCATTTCTCTAATTAAAATAAATTTTCTAGACACATGAGTAGAATTAAATAAAATTATATGATAGCAATAATTAAAGGGCTACGAATTCTACCTTATCAAATGACCCTGTATTGTCATCATCTGTCAATTTAATGACTGACGTCGCTGTGATATCGCATTTATAGGATATTGCTCTTGAAAATGGAAAGAGAAAGGAAATACAAAGAATACAACAACAACAACAAGTTTATTTAGTATTACTATATATTTTTTAACATGGTGTTACCTGTACACTGAAATACAATAATATCAAGACGAAGATTGCAAAGGAGTTACAGATATAATAGAATGGGATAATTTATCGATTATTATTATCATTATTCTTCTTTCGTCTCTCAAATACTTGGAAGACGAAGGTAGCAGTAAGCTTGCGCATGTACGAATCAGTATTAATATTAAAAAGAAAACAGATTTTATCATTAGTATTTTAATTTGTAAATAACGTATTTCGTCATTCATTATAGTGAAAAGAGACTTTTTAAGGACCAATGAAATAATAAGTGTATTTAATTTTCAACAATTTAGACTGCAGTGATCACAAATTCTTAGGTCTTCGGGAGTTTTGCGGATTGTAAATCTTTCAGATTTGTGATTTCCTATCTTAAATTTGAAGGCGATGCGTTTATGTTCAGGCTTCCTGATATGCTAAATGAATTCAGAGTACTTTTTTTCGTTTCTATAGGCGGAGTAGAAATTTAGTTTTTTTGTTTGCACTTATCAGATTGACTTGGTGGTTTTTAAAATGTACTGAAAAACTGTAGGAAAGCAGAAGGGTTTTTTTTAAAGTAACTGATTTATTTTCAATATTAAATTGTTTACATAAAAGATTTATTTTGTATATCAAACATGATTTTTTTACTAAAGGGTAGACAGGCTATACCGGGCACACAGGGTATACAGTGTATACATGGATATACAGGGAGTACATACGTATACATGGGTATACAAGGAATGCAGGGTATACAAGGTATACAGGGTATACAGGGTATACAGGGTATACATGAGTATACAGGGTATACAGGGTATACAGGGTATACAAGGTATACAGGGTATACAAGGTATACAGGGTATACATGAATATACAGGGTATACAGGATCTACAGGGTATACATCGGTATACAGGGTATACAGGGTATACAGGGTATACATGAGTATACAGGGTATACAGGGTATACAGGGAGCACATGGGTATACAGGGTATACAGGGTATACATGGGTATACAGGGTATACATGGGTATACAGACAATACAGGGTATACATAGGTATACAGGGTATACATGGGTATACAGGGTATACAGGGTATACATAAGTATACGGGGTATACAGGGTATACAGGGTATACATGGGTATACAGGGTATACAGGGTATACATAGGTATACAGGGTATACATGGGTATACAGGGTATACAGGGTATACATGGGTATACAGGGTATACAGGGTATACATAGGTATACAGGGTATACATGGGTATACAGGGTATACAGGGTATACAGGGTATACATAGGTATACAGGGTATACATGGGTATACATGGTATACAGGGTATACATAGGTATACAGGGTATACATGGGTATACAGGGTATACAGGGTATACAGGGTATACAGAGTATACAGGGTATACAGGGTATACATAGGTATACAGGGTATACATAGGTATACAGGTTATACATGCGTATACAGGGTATACAGGGTATACAGGGTATACATAGGTATACAGGGTATACAGGATATACATAGGTATACAGGGTATACAGGGTATACATAAGTATACGGGGTATACAGGGTACACAGGGTATACAGGGTATACAGGGTATACAGGATATACATGGGTATACAGGGTATACAGGGTATACAGAGTATACAGGGTATACATGGGTATACAGGGTATACAGGGTATACATAGGTATACAGGGGTATACAGGGTACAGGGTATACATGGGTATACAGGGTATACAGGGTATACAGGGTATACATAGGTATACAGGGTATACAGGGTATACATAGGTATACAGGGTATACATGGGTATACAGGGTATACAGGGTATACATGGGTATACAGGGTATACAGGGTATACATAGGTATACAGGGTATACATGGGTATACAGGGTATACATGGGTATACAGGGTATACAGGGTATACAGGATATACAGGTATACAGGGTATACATGGTATACAGGGTATACAGGGTATACATAGGTATACAGGGTATACAGGGTATACAGGGTATACATGGGTATACAGGGTATACAGGGTATACATAGGTATACAGGGTACAGGGTATACAGGGTACACAGGGTAAACAGGGTATACATAGGTATACAGGGTATACAGGGTATACATAGGTATACAGGGTATACAGGGTATACAGGGTATACAGGGTATACATAGGTATACAGGGTATACAGGGTATACAGGGTATACATACATAGGCATACAGGGTATACATAGGTATACAGGGGTATACAGGGTATACATAGGTATACAGGGGTATACAGGGTATACATAGGTATACATAGGGTATAGGCATACAGGGTATACAGGGCATACAGGGTATACAGGGTATACATGGGTATACAGGGTATACAGGGTATAGGGTAGGGTATACAGGGTATACAGGGTATACAAGGTATACAGGGTATACAGGGTATACATGGGTATACAGGGTATACATGGGTATACAGGGTATACATAGGTATACAGGGTATACAGGGTATACATAGGTATACAGGGTATACATGGGTATACAGGGTATACAGGGTATACATAGGTATACAGGGTATACATGGGTATACAGGGTATACATGGGTATACAGGGTATACAGGGTATACAGGGTATACAGGGTATACATAGGTATACAGGGTATACAGGGTATACAAGGGTATACATGGGTATACAGGGTATACATAGGTATACAGGGTATACATAAGTATACAGGGTATACAGGGTATACAGGGTATACAGGGGGTATACATGGGTATACAGTATATACATAGGTATACAGGGTATACATAGGGGGTACAGGGTATACATAGGTATACAGGGTATACATGGGTATACATGGGTATACAGGGTATACAGGGTATACATGGGTACAGGGTATACAGGGTATACATATATACATGGGTATACAGGGTATACGGGGTATACAGAGTATACAGGGTATACATAGGTATACAGGGTATACAGGGTATACATAGGTATACAGGGTATACAGGGTATACATAGGTATACAGGGTATACAGGGTATACATAGGTATACAGGGTATACAGGGTATACATAGGTATACAGGGTATACATGGTATACAGGGTATACAGGGAGATAAACAATCTATTACTATTACATGAAGGATATATCTATTTGGCGTAAGCGTAACATGAAAGAATAACCCCACGCGGCTTGCTGTGCAACCAGGTCGTTTACTTTAAACCTTGACAAATTACAAACAACCAGGGTGAGGTGGGGAGAGTATTTAAAAAACTAAAAACTATGCGAAATATCTCAAAGGAAATTTTAAAAATAAATAAAGAAATCTTCTAAAGACGCTTTTTCTTTTCCATGGGTTAAAAGTCTCTTACCCGTCATTCCAAAATTAAATTAGCATGCAAAAGTTAAATTTTTGAGGGAGGGGTAACTTACCGGTATGTATTTTCCTTCTTCGCCAACTATTGCGGGCTCGCAACACACATCGGTCTTCGATAGTCGCCTTGCAAATACCGAAAGAAAACCTTTTGATGGCGATGTCTTGGAATCTGGTGCGATTTTGAGGAGTCCTTTGGCGATCATGAGTTGACAAGCTGAGCTTTACAGTATAACCAAAGCAAACCATGTCTGCAAAAGGGTAACATTTTTTAATTAGGCACAGAAACAGTGTGGTGTTGTAAAATTTCTGATACTTTAATTGGCCTAAGCTTAATATGCATATGTCGAACTAGTTGGCTTCTTCTATCTGACATTTTAAGGAGTGAGCTACGGAAGTTAAGCGAAGAAAGCTTAACGAGACCGCCAGAAGAAGTCTTTGATGTTTTGGAAAAGCTGGGAGAAGGGTAAGCTTAAAGGCTAATCTTTAATCCGGTTGTGAAATGAATTCTAAAAAATTATTCTAGAATTCTGCTCAATATTTTTAATTGTCACGTTTTCACGTTTATTTTTGTCCCAGGGGCTATTCTCGTTATATATCGAATTTATAAACATCGTAATTAGTCGTTATTACTTTCTTTGTAGCTCTAAGTACAACACCCACGACAAAAGTAAACTTGAAATTCCACCATATATTCAGCATTAATTTTAGCATATTTTGTATCTTCCTTAACCTAATTCATTTTATTCCTGTTCTTAACTGACAAATGACTGACATCTGTATGATATGTCTAAGATGAAGTAACATCTACTCTATTTATTTGGCTTTAAGCCTGATGTGATTAAAGTGGCAAGTAAGGAGAGGGTATTCAAATAAAAATAGGTTCTAACAGGAACTTTTTTTTTCTTGCATAAGAAAACTTTTCCCATACTTGAAAATTGTATGAAAATACCCAAAAGTTGTACAAAAGCCTGGACATGAGAAATAACGCTACACTCAAATTTCCATTAAGTGGCCCTGTGTTAAATGGCCGCTTATCAAATTCCTGGAATTTGCTTCCCATATTTACTGTTAGGGGCTATTCACATGATACGAGAATGACATTCCTTCTGGAATGAGTTCATTCCATCTCAATATATATATTTTCTTATTTCGTTTCCGTACAAGACATTCCAAGATGAGTTTGTTCCACTGTTCAATCTGAATGAAATTCTTGTTCTGGTACGGAATTTCGTTCTGGTATCATGTAAACTGAAAACGAACTGTGATCTGGATTAGAAAAATTGCAAATTTTGTGCTTTGGGGTGAGTGGTGCATGCTATCTGATCTGGTGCGAAAACCATGCGAGTGAGAATGCCTTAGGCTTAGGCTCGATTTCCGCCTTCTCCCAGGTTCAGCCTTTGATCCTTCATGAAGAGAGACTCTTTTGGAGGGGATGAGTGCAGGCTCATTTTCTCAAACGCTGGCTGGTAATGGAGGTCATCTTAGGGGAGCCAGTCTATTTTATCATGTGAATGCAGCATGAACTTTATATCTGGAATGAAACTCATTCAGGAATAAAAGTCGCTGCGGTACAATATAATCAGCCCATTAATTTGACCTCTGTTGTGTGGTCATCTGTTTAAAGAGGATATAGTCACCATCTAGACTTCCCAGTAAATTAGCCAATTATTAGGGAGTTTCATATACAGCCACAAAAACGTCGCTTGAAAAGTGAATTAGCTTTCTTTCAATCTCTATTATGATTACTCCAACTCATTTAATTTGCGAATGCAAGCAAACTCTTTTTGAGCCAAATTCCTAAGAACCATATTCAAGTTCAGAAAGGGAAAGGAAATATTGCCATCACTTGTTTATGTTGTGGTTCAAATTTTTCCTTGGTTTAAAATTTTTCAAACCAGTTTAATTTTTACTCTCCTTCGTCTAAAATCAATTACAGTCGAACCTCTCTAATACGGACACCGAAGGGACAGAGCAAAGTGTCCGTATTAGAGAGGTGTCCGTTGCATAGAGGTCATGAATATTACGTCACAATAAAGGCTCCATTGATGGTATTAAGTGTTCTTTAAGTCAAAATTGGCCCAAAAAAGGCTTTGAGGTGCATTTGAATTGTTTAATGGACAGTGCAAATCTTTACAATACAAGCTGTACAATTCCAAAAACATATGGAAAACTATAATACAGTTTCGGAACAGTAACATAATAGAACAGTAACAAGTGTAGCGAACACTAACATACAGTAGAGTATTTAATGAAAGTTCTTTGTTATTGATTCATTTTGCGTTAAAGAAGTCTGTAATGTTCTTCTGAACAGCATTCGCTACTCGTTTTTTGACATACAACGACTGAGCTTTTGAAATAATCTTCAAAGAATAAGAAATCTTGATGATAAATGGCAATGACATGTCGATAGTATAATTTTTACCGATTGAAAACGTGATACTGTTATCGTATGAACAAGGAGACAATTGATTACACTCTGATATGTAACGACAAACAGGAAATCGTGTTGAATAAGAACTGTCATCATTGGAGTGTCCGTAATAAAGAGGTTCAGTTTGTATGAATTTTCTCTCTGGGGCCGAGATTTCGTGTCCGTTGTCCGTATTATAGAGGGTCCGTATTAGTATAGGTAATAGCATGATTTGTAGTGATATTTGGCATAAATATCACGAGTGATATTTCGAAATTGTTATACGTAATTTCACGAGCCGTTAGGCGAGTGAAATTTGAGACAATTTTGAAATATCACGAGTGGTATTCATGCCAAATATCACGTACAAATCATGCTATTATTTGTTTATACTACTACCCACAAAAGGTTTGTAATTTTCACATGTGGGTATTTCAAATTAAGCTGAAATACCACTGCTCTAAGCCAATCAAATTGCAGTAATTTCTCATGTAGTAGTATAATAGAGGTTATTTTTACAAAGAATGTATGGGCATTTTCCCGGGACCAAGTGAACTGTCCGTATTAGAGAGGTGTCTGTATTAGAGAGGTGTCCGTAAGGAGAGGTTCGACTGTACCATAATCAGACACAAAGAAAAACAAAAAATAAACTGGTTTGAAAAATTTTAAACCGAGGAAAAATTTAAACCACAACAATTACATCCTCCATAAAACGTAAAACTAGGCATTTTCCCTTCATAGTCATGGTGTGACAGCAAAGAAACCTGCAAGAGACGTTTTAAAATTCAGATGGGCGACATGGGACCCCTCCCCTGGCAGGGCCTCAATATATTGTTTTCAGAAAAAGTTGTGATTAGACAATCTTCTTCCCAGTGTCCTGGATTAAGTGTCTGCGCTGTAATAGGTTTAAAAGTTAACCCAAAAGGAAATTATCCTCCACTTTCCTCCACTTTTGTGTGGGACTGTTTCTTATGTTGTACGTGGACAACATTGTTCTAGCTAAGTTTAGAGTCAATCTGTGGACAACTCAGTAGACTCTATTTTTTATTATTATTATTTTTTTTATCAATGGTACTTTCTTTTGACAGGTCTTATGGCTCTGTATTTAAAGCAATGCATAAAGAGACAGGACAGGTTGTTGCAATTAAACAAGTTCCAGTTGATACAGATTTGCAAGAAATCATCAAAGAAATAAGCATGATGCAACAATGTGATAGGTACATGATATAAAGTAAATTCTACTCCACACTCTACATTTTTGCTGTTTTTCTATTTCTAATTAATTGATTATGATAAATTTGTTCTTTATTAACTTTGAATTCTCTTTTTATAGCCCATATGTGGTTAAGTATTATGGAAGCTACTTCAAGAACACAGATCTTTGGGTATGGTTAACCTGTAGTTTGTGTTGTTTGTACAAATGAGTATGTGTATTTGTACCTTCTGTAGCCTGCTTGCAGGATAAGAGAATGAAATAATTTCATCTTTAAGAACAACCCATAGAGCCTTACATGATACCCACACACTGGCTGAGCTATTTAACTCTGGAGAGAGGCCAAACTACCAGGAATCTACTCACTCAAGTGCTATACAGCAACTGGTCAAGCCTCTTGAAACAGGAACATTTCATAAGTGGCATAGTCTTGATGAATGTAGAGCTATGCCGTAGAAAAGTCATCAATAAGCCATTTATTTCATATATCATTAACACTCATTTCTTTCACGGGAACATATGAACCCACAATTGACCTGCTCCCAACGTCAGTGGCGTCATAGCTCAGTTGGTAGAGCATCGCACCGGTATCGCAAGGTCATGGGTTTGAACCCCGTTGAATCCTGAATTTTTTTTTCAGGCTTTTTTACACAATTGCATAAATTGCATTCACTGCGATGATCATTTCTTCATTTTCATTTCATTTCCCCAGTTCATATATGATTTATTTCATATATCATTAACAAGCCATTATTATTATTATTATTATTATTATTAAATTTAAAAAGTTATGAAGAGAGTGAAACATGAATATGAATCACACTGTTGTAAATTACTCATTATTTGAACTGATTTTTAAGGGTGTTTCTAACTTTATATGACTTTCTTAGATTGTTATGGAATTCTGCGGTGCAGGATCTGTTTCAGATTTGATGAAAATAAGGAATAAAACTGTAAGTGGAGAGTGTTGTGTAGATGTACATGTATGTAATCCTTAACCTGTGTGTTATATAGTATTTCATTACCTTGTACCATCATCAGATATATCAGAAGTTTTTATTTTTTTGGAGGCATAATGGTTAAGCCCCATACTATTTATTCTTCATTCAAATAATTCCAGTCCATTTCTGATAGCTTAATTAATCAGCTAGTCAGTGATTTTTCAGCATTTTGCTAACACGAACCAAACTTGGAGGATTGATGTCATTGGTTTACTATATTATTGCTTAGAATGAATTATGTCGAAGTAGGTTGTCTTGCCAAGATGTGTGCTATCTCAGGTATAACAGCTTGTACTAACGCTAAGGTATGGTGCTTTGCACCACTACATTTAGCAACTCTCTGAATAAACAGAACTTCTTCAGGGATCTTTGGTAATGTTTGGAAGTTGTCAGATCATCTTTAGCACGGTTCAGTAGTCATTGGCTTTATTTGGAAATCCTGGTATTTTATGAACATGGAAATCACACTCATGTGACTTAGACTTATATTACAGGGAGAAATTAGATGTTTATCACTATCATGAGTGGGTGAAAGGATAAAAAAGTCACTGGAAAAAACTGTCTTGAGTTTGTTTTACAGTGTAACAACCAAACACTGAACTGAATACCAATATTCTAACAAGTAAAACTTTCTACAGTTAACAGAGGAGGAGATAGCATGCATATTAAAGTATACCCTCAAAGGTCTTGAGTACCTTCACCTAAGGAGAAAAATACACAGGTGAGGCAAGAATACAGTGATTTATTTGAAATTTTGCATAAACATTGAATACTGAGTGCAAGATTGTGTTATGATAACACTTGAATCTACCTCTACGGTTTCGCTAGATCTCCCTTGATGTTTTTGTTCCTCTTACAATAAATTGTGATACATTTAATTATGTTGAGCACTGATATTATTTCAATTTGTACACTTACTGTAACTGATATTTCTGTTTGATATGCGATGTCACAGGTTTTTAACTTTGCTACATGTGTATGGTCTTTATTGTACTGAAGTGCAAGTTGTTAAGAAAAAATATTAATATTCTACATGACAAGTCAAATTACTAAAACTTTGATAACTTGGTGTAAAGAAGGCTATTTAATATGCTCACTTGTTTGTCCATGGATTAAGTCATTTTTAGATGAGGGTCTTTGATTTGGATTCATAGGCTCTTTGAAATTTTCCTTCCTGATTTTAGCCTCCTTTTTCCTTGTAGAGATATAAAAGCAGGAAATATCCTTCTGAATGCGGAAGGTCATGCAAAGCTTGCAGACTTTGGTGTTGCTGGTCAACTTACAGTAAGTAGAAGATGTAATACTCTCAACAGAAAGAAATGTGGCTAGTCTTCTCCCTGCAACTTGCTCAATGTAAAAAGTTCCCTTACAATCAAACTCACAAAACCGCGTAAACCAGAAATATTATATTATGTTGTGTTGCATGAAAATAGCCAATCAGGTGCAATAAAACTATACTTCAAGCAACAAGGTGAGTTAGTTTGTAGTTTTTGTGACTAAGCTTCCATGTCCTGATCTTTGCAGTGATTGATTTGACTGTAGGAAAGTTGTTCTGGTTACTGGCATTTTAGTTAGTGAGATCTCTGATCACTTTTTTGGGTCAATTATTCGACTGTCTTGAACCATGGAATAACAAAGAATTTTATTATTCCAAATGTGGAAACTTCTTCCTTTGATATTTTTGAGAGTGTTTCTTCCTGTTCGTATTAGAAACTGTTATGGAATTTTTCCCAAACAAATATTTCTTGTTTTTGACAACCCTCCTGCTTTTACCTTATTATAGAAAATTAACGCTCCATGAAATTAAGGTATTGGAAATTAACGCGACTTAAATTAACGCGAATTTAATGGAAAACGACTTTCGAATAAAGAAAATTAACACGAATGAGGAGGTAGAATTTCATAATAAAGGAAATTAACGCGATTAAGACACAGTTGGTCAAAGGAGAAGATATTTACATCACTTCTGACAGCGACAACGATGAAGATGAACTTGAAATATTGTAAACCTTCGCCTTAGCTTTTGTGAAAGATGAAAAATAAAGGGTAAATGGAAAGAAAGAAAGCTTGTAGTTAATGTTTTTTAGGTGTCAAGAATATCTGGACAGGTTCCAAAATTGGAGTTAAAATACTGGAAATTAAGAGCGCGGAAATTAATGCTGCACTTAATTAACGTCACGGAAATTAACGCTCAACAAAATGAACGCGACTTAAATTAACGCGAATTTTAACGATTCGCGTTAATTTCATGGAACGTTAATTTCCTATAATAAGGTATTCCCACTCTTTGAAAAAGTCTTACTGTGCTCTGACTGCTATTAACTTTCATTATTTTCTCCAGGATACAATGGCTAAAAGGAACACTGTTATAGGGACCCCATTTTGGATGGCTCCTGAAGTTATACAGGTCAGTGTGTTTAAAATGAGATTGTCAAGCTGGCTGAAGTCAATCTTAATTCCATTTTTATCCTAGCCTGCGTAGCAGGCGCTTGGAAGTAGTGGGCACAAGAAAGAACGGGCGCTCCCTCAGCCCTTGCACATCTCCCTCGCGCGCAGCCATTCTCTCTTTCGCCCACTACTCCCAAGTGCCTGCTATGCAGGCTATTTTTATCCTGGCCAACATCTTTGAGTTGAGTAACCATTCTAAGGAATTTGATACCTAGAATAGAAAAAAATGTGGTTCAATAACTGAACCATAATTGAACCACATTGCTTTCCACAA